AGATGATAAAAACAGCAGTTTCAGTCGGAGCAGACCGGCTATGGAAACAAACCACAGAGAGGCTGCGATACAACACAGGCAGAGGGAGTGAGACACCATGTGCCTCTGTGTCTGTATATAGAGAATAGCTGATATATTAATTTTTCAAATCTTAGATACGACCTTCAATGGCAAATAGCATTTATGACCCTCATCTGACATGGTGATGTCAGGGTCTCGTCCTTGTTTCGGGGACTCTTTTAAAACCCCACAGATGTGAGCTAACAATGACATACAACAACGTCCACATGTGGTTCGCACACTGCAGCCGTTCATCTTTGAACTCAAAGAGTGGGACACGCTGAGGGCGCCGTGTCCTCAGCCGTCCTCTGGATGTTTCTCACTAAGAGGAGGAAGAGCTTTATTGTTGTGTATTTATAACTCTGTGTGCTGACAGTAAACAGACCTGTTGCCTCGAAACCAAACGCTCATAAATACCCAGTGAGTCCTCACTGAACTGAAGAAGTCCATCGATCACGTATTTAACTGTAGGGGGCATCTGTTGTATCAGATGGTATTTAGGGACTTTAAGTAATACTGAAGGTGGTGCCATAAGCAGTTGCGGATATGTGAAGCACTACATGTTGTATTTAATAGGTTGCCTGTAGTAATAGATGGTATTTGAAGTAATTTATGTGGTATTTACGAGGGTTACCTGTGGTTCTAAGTGGTATTTTAACTACTGCGTGTAGTAGTTTAGGTGCCGCCTGTGGCTGTAGGTGGTATCTAAAGTATGCCCTGTAGTATTTAGTAGTATTTGAGTGCATCTGAGGAGTAAATCTGTAGGAGCAGATGCTACGTGAAGTACCACATGAAGTGTTTGAGGTAGTATCAGGTGGTCTTTGAGGTATTATACGTAGTATTTGAGGTATTACTTGTTGTAGTAAGTGGTATTTTATGTGGTAATTAAGGGGTTAATTGTGGTGCTAAGTGGTATTTTAACTACTGTATGTAGTATTTGATGTACTATCTGTAGGATCTGGTGGTATTTGAGGTGTTACCTGTAGTAACAGGTGGTATTTGAGGATCCTCTGCACCGGTTTGAGCAGGTACGTCTCCAGAGGTAACGAATGGTTCAGAGTCGTCTGTCTCTCCTGGAAGAAACAAACCAGACTTTTGTTCTTCATACATTCCCTCAGTACCGCCACCGAACTGTGGAGAGACAGAAAGAGAGAGAGAAAGACAGAGAGAGAGGGGGAGGAAGATTTGTTGAATCAGTCAAATTATGAACAAAAGAACTGATAATTAATGATGACGTTTCAAATTCTGTCAAAGATCTGACGTTGCCTCTTGGCCAGCTCACACTCCTGATCAATTACTTCTTTGCAACTTGAATGTAATATTTGTGCTGTTTTACGTTAGTGCTCGTGGAGAGTTGTAAAATTCTACCTCATAGTGTCATAAACCTGTTGATCTATTACAGTTCAATAATCTTCCTGGTTCATTTGTCTCACAGGTACTTGAAGCAACATGCTGACACCATCTGAAGGAGAATAATGTGAGAATAATGGTTTTGTTGTCCCCAGTTTATAATGCTTGAACAAAAGCTCAAAATATGGAAACGCTTCCTGATTCATGGCCATTCATTCCCTGTTTATGGCCTAAATCTGTTAAAAATTAAGCTTTTATTTTGTTTCTCTGTATTTTTGTTTCTTTTATGACACGAATATGATTCAAGACTAAGAACTGGATAAACAGAACCAGAACCACAATCTAACAATACCCAAGAGAGGCCAGGTGCCATTACAAACATTAGCAGTAAGGTCCCCGAGTACATTGGACTGCCTGGGGGCCTCCAAGCTTTGGCCCCTAGAGTTAGAGAATAGAATATTGCCCACCAGGGTGAAGATTTGTTTTTGGCTCACCAAACCAAGACAAAACATCCTAAAAAACAGCAGGACTGCCTTCAAATAGTCGACCCACAATCCATCAGTCTGACAGCCGCTAAAACAACATTAAACTACGTTCAGGAGCTGCTCCTCGTCAACGGGACCAAAGTATCAGAGGATTGTTGCAACACAGACCTTTTCTCTTGTAACACAGAAAGTCTCTTACTGCTGCACTGCTGCGTATGCTAACTGTACTAGCTTCTATTAGCTAGTTAGCAGTCCTGTTAGCTGTCTGTACCCGGACTGGGAGCTGGAAGGACAGGGGGAGTTTAAACCAGTGGTGTAAGTACCGCCGGTGCAGCCAGTACAATGCACCGGGGCCCAGCTGATTATAAGAGCTAACAAGGGACAGCGACCTTTGCCTAGTGTCCGTACGAGGGCCCTTTGGGGTGCTCTACATTCCTGGGTTCACATTGCTGGCAAGTCGACTATGCGTCTGAGCATCGATATGCTTACAGTGTGAGCTCGATGTTTGAGTGTAACCCCTGTGCCTCTTGGTACATACAAGAGCTGGTGTGAGATTTTGACCACGATCCGTCCACGATCAACAGAGGGAGTTCAGTCTCTGATGAACATTTATCACCACGTGAAGGCAGAGAAATTTAATAAGAAGGACAGATGGGGAGCAAAGACAGAAACAAGATAACGTAAAGTTCTGAAGTCCTCTGACAAACATTCGTCAGGACATGGAGGAAAAGGAGGGATGGAAGAAGAGGTGGAGAAATGATGGAGATGGAGGAGGAAGACAAAGACAGATGGGGGAGATTAAGTAGGGACGATGAAGGACTCCACAGCTGTTTGGAGCTTCGACAAACATTCATTACGAGTTTCGGGCAGAAGGAGAACGATCGGAGAAAGAGCCAAAAAGATGGAGGGAGGTCGGTAAGAAGAAGAAGGATAGAGCCATACGTTTTCAACAGCATTCATCATAATTTGAACAAAGAAAGGGAGGAATCGAAGAGGAGGAGGAGCGAGGAAGACAAGCATTCATCAAGAAACCAAAGTAGACAGAATTTGAGGGCATCTCGATGAAAGTGGTTTCAGCTCCATCGTCAAAGGACCTGAGAAAGAATGACGAAGGTGGAGACACAGGAGGAAAAGAGGGATGTGATAGAGGACGGAGGAGACTCCTCAGCTGTTGAGTCCACTGACAAACATCCATCACAGCATGAAGCCAAAGAATCTTGGACACCGGCGAGATTGGAAGGAGGGAGCAACCAGAGGGGGGAGGTCTGAACGAGGAAGGGCGAGGGGAGGAGGTCAAGGTAACGACGGAGGAAGAGAGGAGGCGCTTTTTCCTCCAGATAGACGTTAATCACAGGAGGGAGTCCGGGGATTCAGAGCAGCCGTAATAACTTCTGCAGGCTCATCACTGATGTGTTCAGCAGGAAGTCTCTAAAACAAAGTTTATCTGCAGATTTGAAATGTTCGTAGAGGGAAAAACAATCCAGTCTGGTAGAAATTCAGAGCAAATATATACGCTCTGAGAGAAAAGCCAGGACATTTTTCTTTTATAACGAGGAAACTATTTTAATGCACAAATCTGCAATCTACAGTATCTCACAGCATGACAACTGTTTTATGGTTAAATTAGGGCTCATGCTTCCAGACTGGAGCCTCTCACAAACTGAGAGATAGAGCCACGTTAAATCCTTTGTTTTACTGAGAGAGAGAAAAAACAGGAACCTTTATTTTGTCTCATTTGTAAGGTATTGTTTTACTGATGATGAATTTAGTCAAATGTATATCTCTTCAAAACCTGTTCAAGAAATTATATGACGTGATGAAAACATAGCAGAAAAAACAGTCTGAAATGTTTATTTATGCTCAAATGTGGGTCCCCAAAATAAAAGCTTGGGAAACAATAAACTATAAACTCTGTGGGACCCGTCTCTCGCCAGGCGCCCCCCCCCCCCCCCCC